TTATAGTTTGAACACTGACTCCTTGAATTATGTTACAAGTTCTTGAATGTGTCTCCTTGAACTTTGATAAAAACAGCATTTAAAAAATCCAGAGGCCAGAGAGAGAGAGAAAGTGTACAGGGTTTAGGGAATCTGTCTTTGCAAATAGTTGACACTGTTCAATCCCCAGCACCACATAGGGTCCCCTGAGTACAGCCAGAAGTGATCCCTGGCACAGAGCTTGAGCACAGCTGGGTGTGCCTAAAAAACAAATTAACTAAAATACATTAAATGAACACAGGAGAAAGGTTAAAAAGAAAAAGCCATCACAAGTAGCAATAACCTACAAAATAACTAATTCTTTATTCCTAATTCTAGTAACTTTTACAAACTATAACAACATGCATAACTTCAGACTACATAAAAAATATTAGAAAAGCAATGTGAAAACCCTATATACCAACCAGTCAGAGATAACCTCTATAAATATCCTTAACCAGAATTTTGCTTACCAGTGTAATTTCTCAAATCAGAGGAAAACTTTTTTTTTTGTAGGAGTACTGCTATTTATTCAGTCACTGATTAGCTGATTGAATTGTGCATGAACTCCACCTTACTTTTTTTTTCCATTTTTTATAATTTTATTTATTGAATCACCGTGAGAGCAGTTATAAAACTTTTGGGTCTAAGTCTCAGTCATACAATGAAACACCCGTACCTTCACCAGTGCCCATTCTCCACCACCAAAAATCCCAGTATACCCCCATCCCACACCCTTCCCCTGCCTGTGGGGCAGATGATTTCCACATTACTCTCTCTCTACTTTGATCACATTCACTATTTCGACACCAGACCCGCCATTATTTGAGATTTTACCCCAACACTCAGATCTGCTGAAAAGGCAACAATAGACAATTTGTGTTCTATTGCTGGTTATGAATAACATATGATGTCGTGTGGCTGCAGTAGGGCCATGTGGTTTTGAAATTCCGAAATTTTAACACTTAAATTTGGAGGGATTTCTGCCAAAAGCCACTGGGTTTAGAGATCTGCTCCTGAGTCTCTGGGATCATGGCCGTTGAGCAGCTTGATGAGGAGCCAGAGAGGCCGTTCGTGGGCGATGACTTGGGGTCTGTTGGGGTGGGGAGGACAGGCCCGGCTCCCCCCCACCCCCCCATCCCATGAGGCCCAACAAGTTTCGTCACTGCGGACCCAATCCTGACTGTCCAATGGCCTCTGGAGGATGACAGCCACCAAGTCGCCAAGAGGGAGCAGGCGAAGGGACAGCACCCATTCCCCCCTGGGGTGGCCCGGCAACAGTAACATACTGTGGGGTCCGGAAACATTTCTGCCAAAAGCCGCTGGGTTTCGAGATTTGTTTCTGAGTCTCTGGGATCAAGGCCGTTGAACAGCTTGATGAGGAGCCAGAGAGGCCATTTGTGGGTGATGACTTGGGGTCTCGTTGGGGTGGGGAGGACAGGCCCGGCTCCACCCCCCTCCCATCCCGTGAGGCCCAACAAGTTTCGTCACTGCGGGCCCAAGCCTGACTGTCCAATGGCCTCTGGAGGATGACAGCCACCAAGTCGCCAAGAGGGAGCAGGCGGAGGGACAACACCCTTTCCTCCCTGGGGTGGCCTGGCGACAGTAACGTACTGTGGAGTCTGGATGCATTTCTGCCAAAAGCCACTGGGTTTTGAGATTTGTTTCTGAGTCTCTGGGATCATGGCCGTTAAGCAGCTTGATCAGGAGCCAGAGAGGCCATTTGTGGGCAATGACTTGGGGTCTCATTGGGGTGGGGAGGACAAGCCCGGCTCCACCCTCATCCCATGAGGCCCTGTGTGTCTCGTCACTGGGGGCCCAAATGTGACTATCCAGTGGCCTCAGATGAATGGCGGCCACTGGGCCGCCAGGGGGAACAGGCCAAGGCACGAAACCTATTCCCACCTGGGTTGGCCCAGCACCGGTAGCCTATTGCAGAGACCAGACGCATTTCTACCTAAAGCCACTGGGTTTTGAGATTCGTTTCTGAGTCTCTGGGATCACGTCCATTAAGCAGTTCAATCAGGAACCAAAGAGGCCTTGCCTCCAATTATATAGCTGAGCCGAAGATGGTTTGTGGGTGTGTTTCCCACATGCCTAACTTTTGGCCATTTACTTTCTTGGTAAACTTTGCCCCAAGTTTTTGGGGTCTTGCCAAAGGCACAGCAGCAATTTTGGGGTATCTGGAAGTCTGAAGGCGCCATCAGGCTGCTGATGCACTCGCCTCACAGGTACAGATTGACCTGCTGGTGGCACCATACCCCCTCAAATCAGAGGAAAACGTTTTAACCTGTTTTTATTACTAATGTGGATCTTTCCAGATCAATTTATATAGCTCTATATACCTCTTAATAATTGTATAGAAGTCTACCATTTAAACTACCACAAAAGTAATAAACACTAACAAAAAATAAATCTGATAGGCAGAGGGAAGCAGTATTATTTTTTACATCATCAATTACAGGGAGTTAATAGATATTACCTAAAGTTGGTAAAAATTCAAAACATGTGGTACTTAAAATAATAAAGGTATCTACTAAAAATATATTAACAAAGAAGAGCGGGGAAACAATGATGTGCACAAAATTTCCTTTCAGAATTTAAACTTAGACAAAAATAAGTATGTATTTGTATATGTAAAAAACTGTAAATAATGGTTATATCATAAAAAAGGGCCAATGGTGGTCTCTTACTCTATTATTTTGTTAGCATAAATGTAACATAAACCCATTATTAAAATATATCTAAAACGTAACAAAAAGCTATAAAATAGTACATAAACAGTCGCAATTTGGGGATAGCACAACTGGCAGTTCTCAGGGGTTACTGCTGGCTCTGCACTCAATAATACACTTTTAGCAATGCTCAAGGGACAAAATGGGATGCCGGGGATTAAACCCGGGTTGGACACATGCAAGGCGAGCACCCTACCCGTTGTACTATTGGCCCAGCCCCAACTGTCTCAATGTTTATACAAAATGCCCATAAGTAGAAAAGACTCTAAGAGTAGGCACCAAGATACTAACAATAATTATCTCTGAGTATGTCAATACTATTCTTTATATTCTTTATGCAGTTGTATTTTCCTATAATAAAATACTTAACTTATATTGCATTTGAAATGAGAAAACACATGAAAACCATCTTCTTGTGGGGCCTGGTGAGTCAACCCAGATTCAATCCCTGACACCCCATATTGTCCCCCAAGCCCACCAAAATTGATCCCTGAGCACAAAGCCAGGAGTAAACCCTGAGCACTGCCAATGTGGCCCCAAAGCAAAAGAAAACAAAAACTCCATCTATTGAAAGGGAAAACGCTCTAAGAAAAAATAAAACTCAAATATCCTTATATATCTTGCAAAGTCTTGGCCACAGAACACTTATATTCCATATATACAGATTTTAATTGATCTTACAAACTGCTTTTATGCCTCAAACATAAAAATCCTTATTTTAGATAAGCTATAGGTCTTTTACTCCAAGGCCCCAAGTCATTTCTGATGGAGCATTTGACTCTATAGATTGATACCTAATCTAGTGTAGTAATATCCTTTTCACATACTTGTTCACTAGCTCACAACATTTAACTGAGTACCTACTGTGAAGAAAGCATTGCACAGCATGTGTCTCCATGTGTTGATTAGCATATAAGCTGCCTCAAGTGATGTCAATTTAGTGTGGAAATAGCTTATAAACAAGTCGCAAAGTGAGGATAATGAATAGGAGACACTATGAAGAGTACAGGTATTTTGCATTTGGATACAAATATTTTCAAATAAATCAAGAGATATCTGAAAACATAGGTAAGAGGTAAAGGAGAGAATTCATCAGGCAGAGCACATGAGTTGCATGTGGGAGGCCTGGGTTCGATCCTGTGATCCTGTCACTGCATGGTTCTCCCCTGACCACTTCCAGGAGCAACCACTGATCAAAGACCCAAGAGTAACCCTATAAACATCATCGAGAAAAGGAAGAGCAGGGGGAGAGATAGAGACACAGAGAGAGGGAGGGAGGGAAGGTGGAAGGGTGGAAGGGAGGGAGGAAGTTAAAATTAAGTGGTATCTTTTTCAGTCTTCATTCATGCTTTAGATTATATATGTATACACACACACACACACACACACACACACACACACACACACACACACACATAATGAAGTGAGTTAGCTACTGGAGCTCCCCACGGTAGCCTGCCTTACTAGCTGCTACTAAACAATAAAGTTTGGACAAGGCAGAAATGCTCAAAAACAACAACAGATATTTATAAGCAGAATCACTTCATACCAAATAAGTCTGAGTTTTGCTTTGTATTTAAAGAATAAAGGGAAAAAACTGAAGATCAACCCCATATTCAATTTTAAAGTATCCCTGATAATGAAAGCACAAACTGTAACCAATCTTGAAAATATGATTTGCCCTATGTTTCCAACACTACAGAATACACTATGAGGAACTTCTTAGCAAAAGAAAGAAGATCGACTAAATAACCAAAGTCTTTTCTATCTGACATTTTCAATGTGTCATTCTGCTGTTTTTTCTAATTCAAAACTAAAACTCTAAATAAAAAGAACACAGAAAGCTTTACTGAAGAAAGGTCCCTCCAAGGAACTGTGATACCATTCCTGAGTTGACTGGCTTAGTGCTCAATCAACATCATGCCACCCCAAACCCAAATTATCTCAGACTAGATCAGTTTGCCCAAATCAAACACATTTGGCTTTATCCCCTTTTAAGAAAAAAATATCACTCAGCACACCCCCACCCCAAAATCTACCCTCTTTAAGCAAACAAAAAGAGCCCACCCAAGGCTATTAAACCCCATTCATCTGTCATTCCAATACACACCCAGAAGGAGGTGTCCTCACTCTGGGAAAGATAAGGAAGAGGCTTCTGAAAACTTTCTCCACTCACAACGCGCCTTTTTGTCCAAGAAACTTTTATGTGACTCCAAGTATACAGTTAATAAGTATACAAAGCAAACATTTACTGATAATAAATCATAAATTTATTTTAAAACAATCTTAAGATTTTTTACGAACCCCCCTACCACATTCAGTTTTGTGGCCCAATACAGGGTTGCATTCAACAATTTCAGAAGCTACGAATTACATCTAGGAGACAATTCTCTTTAAGTTACAATTTCATAATTATACTGAAAATCATTGTTCAAATTTTTTAAAATTGTAAATACTAAGTACTTCATATGACATTATCTTTCTGAAAACGGGTCAACATAATAACTAGGACTTTAGGAAGAAAGAAAGGTCATTCAGTTAACAAAATGAATCAGTGACTTAACAATATGAACCTTCAAAATAATTACCTTTCTCCAAGCTATGAGGATAAATAAATCGATAAAAAAAATAGCTTATATACTTTATTTTTTCTTTAGCAGTGCTGGGTATCAAACCCAGGGGCAGGTTAAATACTTTTATAATTTTACATTAAAAAATCAAATAAGAGTCTTCTTTGATATTGTTTAGTACAGTTATTATATAAGCAAAGAAAGAATTACAAGAAAAGACAACTTAAACACTGGTAATGATTCTATTATTTCTAAATCCTTCCACAAAAGGGCATTCATAATGTTTAAGTAACTTAAAAAAAAAAGTCAGCCCTAATGCTGAAGCTATAATAGATAATACAATTTTTAAATATTGCCAATATACTATAAAGCACAATGAAAAACATCTTATTTAAATGAAACAAGGATAATAGTTCACTGGGGAATATGTCCAAGCAATTTTTTTTCTCTCCATATCTATTCAATGATATTTTCTGGGCTAATTTCTAAACAAATGCAAATTTTTTTTTAAAAAATCTATTTTATTTTTATAAGTTGTTCATCATATTTGATTACATTTAATATTTGAACATCAATCCCACCACCATTACACCTTCCCACCACCATATTTCCATCCCGAACCCCAAACCCTGTACCCAAAGCAGAAACAAAATAATTTATTTGTATTGCTTTTTATAAATAACCCACAAAAAATGATCCAAAATACCAAGAGTAGCGCACCACATTTGATGGGGTTTAAAGTAAAGATAAGACAAATGCATATTTTTAAAAAATAACAAAAAGCCATGTTTTGCCCAGGAATACTAGTGTACACAGACCACACAGACTGTTTTATAGCAGATACTATAGTTTGTTTGCCAAGCTTCTGATGGCAAAATGCTAAGTTGTGAGCTTGATATTGTCCAACTAGGTGTTTCTTATCTCCCTGCAGCACACAATGTTGAGACCCTTTGTCATCACCATTTCTCTTCCACAGTGACTTCACTGTCATAGCACACTCATGTCCTTAAGATGCGAGGCCTAGCAAAAAGCCTCCCACAAATCCACTGGATATCACGATGTTCTGTTTGATAAATTCTGTTGCCTGAAACAAAGTTTAAACAAGATTATAATTATGCGGTAACATGGATGAATCTTGAAAACAATACACTATGTGAAATAAGCAACAAATGTTCTATGATTCCAATTATGTGAACAAAGACAAGACAACAGAGGTTTAGAAGTAGTTAATGGTGGGAATTACTGCTTAATGGTTAGTTTCTGCTTGTGATGACACAAATGTTATGAAAACGAACAATGGCAAAGGTTGCAAACAGTGTGACTACACTGAATATAATTTAATCATATTCCTAAAAGCAGTAAAAATAGTAAACTTTATGCATTTTATTGCTATAAGGAAAAATTTCTTTAAATTCACTCTTGATTATTAAATCCAGATTATTAAATCTAAGAAGAATTCTACCTATTTTCCTCAGTTCAATAAATATTCAGCAAAAATTCTTCTGCACCTACTATTGATGGTGCCAACCAGCACATGACACCAAGCGACCCGTTACAAACGTAAACTACTGAGATAAGAGGTTTCTGGATAGCAATAATTTCATTAGATAAAAAGAAGCATATCTATGGTGGGAAGTGGGTCAGTGGCAGAGGTCCTAAATTCAATCCCCATCTCCACAAAAATATGAAGAATAAAAAAAATAAGACTACTAGGCATAAAAAGTACATTAAACAAGTTATTAGCACCAACTATCTAATAAATTCCCACAGCGGATGCAATGGTATTTATGCTTAGCCTTGTACTTTAATGACCATAAGGAAAAGTGTTCATTATCAAAAATATATCACTGTGGTGCTAGGGAGACAGCTCAAAGTGCTACTGCACATGTTTCACAGGTGGGGGTCCCAGAAGTGGTCACTGATGAACACTCCCAGGTTCAGCCTAAAAAGCAAAAAATAGTAACAAAAAACTTCTAAAATATCAGCTTGATAAAATGTTTAACCTGAACACAATCATGAAGCAGTAATTAAAGCCAGACTCTATAGAATATTCTGCCTTTAATAATTAAAATGTCACTGTCATGAAATATGAGGTGAGTCTTGGAACAGACACAAGGAGACTGTTTAAGGAGGCTTCAGAGACATGACAATCAAATGAAATACAAAATTCTTGATTGGAGAGACAGGCATAAAAGATATTCTGTGAAAAAATATTATGCATTAAATATTAAACCAAGTTCAACTGGGAAGGACTTTAAGAATAATTAGAGTTGTGAGTTGTGTAGGAAAATATCTGTACTTCCATGGTGACATGTGCTCAAAGTAAAAAATCGTAATATCTTAAGCAGTTTAGCAATAAAGTATAAGTCTCAAACACAAGACTGACAGTAAATTATAAATCTCAAACACAGAAGTAAAACTGGTAAAAGGTATTGGGCACTTTGGTGGTGACGGTGGCAAACCATGTTAACAAGTTAAAGAGAGAGAGAGAGAGAGAGAGAGAGAGCGCAACCCCTCTCCCCCCAAACATATATATATATATATACATATATATATACACACATATATAGGAAAGCTAGAGCATAATAGTTATGCTCTAGCTTTCCTCACCTGTGGTATATAAAAAAACAATACAAGAAATCAGACAGTATTTTAAACAATGACAAATCCTAGGATTAGGAAACTGTGATTACCAAGTACAGAAAGGTCTGGGGGTAATGAGGCAGTAAACTAGAAGTAACATTAAGGACAGTGGTAGAAAGTATTAGGTACTTTGGTGGTGGTGGTGAGGTACAGTAATTGTACATCAAGACCATAAAAAGTTAACACTACTATAAACATAGTACCTTAACTACAACAATAATCTTTAAATTTTTAAATAAGAAATTTTTTAAACTGATTTAAATGGTGGCTTATGCCCAAATTTTTCTTAACACTCTATGCATGACCAAAAACATCAATTTTTTCAAAAAGAAGCAAATGCATCAAGTTTATTTTTCTGCTAAACAAGACCCATTTAAAAAGGGGAAGGGTAGAGTCCAAAATATACATTGTCTTACTTCTTCAATTATATTGTTGATTTCAGGTGCTGCTTTATTTGCTCGTTTCTTAATCTGTCTCTTTGCTTTGTTTACATCTTTTTCAACTCTTTTCCAGTCAACCTGAACATAGCCACTATGACTGGCAATCTGCAAAAATGTAATAGAAATGTTTACTTCTAAACCAACCTGATTGTTAATACTATCATTTATATATCAAGATATCTATGAAGCTTACAGATGCACAATCACCAGTTATTTAATATGTTCTGTGCCATGCACTACTTTAGGCCCCCAAGTTACAGTTAAGAACAAGAGAAACATAGGTGGTAACACCCTCACAGAGCTTTCCTCAAAACCTGGGCAAACAGTCATTCTTATAAAATAATTACTTAGATGTGAGGAACATATGTAAATATAGTATATGACGAGAAAAGATTTTAAAAATTGCATTAAAAGTTATGACTACTATCCAAATTATATGTAGCACTATAGCACTGTCCTCCCGTTGTTCATCAATTTGCTCAAGTGGGCCCAGTAACGTCACCACTGTGAGACTTGTTACTGTGTTTGGCATATTGAATACATCACGGGTAGCTTGTCAGGCTTTGCCATGTGGGTGATATTCTCAGTAGCTTGCCGGGCTCTCCGAGAGGGGCAGAGGAATCAAACCTGGCTCGGCCAGGCCGGGCCGAGCGCAAGGCAAATGCCCTACCACTGTGCTATCGCTCCAAATTATATAGATAATAAAAAAAGTGCTTTTCAACTAAATATATGCCTAATTACAAGGATTAAGAAGCCAATCAGTTCTCAAGTAACTAAAGAAATCTAAAGGAACCTGCTAATGCTTCCTCCATAACCTCAACTCTTCAGTATACTTTCTTGTAACTACATTTGAAAGTGAAATATTAATCTTAATAAAAATCATAGCTGGGGGCAGAGAGACATTACAGAGGTTAAGAGCTTCCTTGCATGCAGCTGACCCTTGGTTCTATTCCTAGCACCCAATATGGTCCCCAGAGCCTTCCAGAAGTGACTCCTGAGTGCAGAGCCAGGAGTAAGCACTAAGCACTCCCAGGTGTGGTCCCAAAAAGTAAAAAAAAAAAAATTCATAGATAATATCAATCAGCCATAAGAAAAAGCTCATAAAGTGCTACTGAGACAATACAAAATCTGAACAGGGGGGCTGGAGCGATAGCACAGCAGGTAGGGTGTTTGTCTTGCATGCGGCCAACCTGGGTTCTATTCCCGGCATTCCATATGGTCCCCTGAGCACCTCCAGGAGTGATTCCTGAGTGCAGAGCCAGGAGTAACCCCTGAGTATCAGCGGGTGTCACCCAAAAAAAGAAAAAAAATCTGAACAGGAACATAGGTAGTACACTGTTAAGTCTCCAAATAATGAAATAAAAATATAAAGAATTACATACATGAGTAGTAAACAATCAGACCATACATATGATTATAAATCACTAATTGAGCATATGCTTCTTAGTAATCTTTAAATGCCACACTTTGGACCGCACACAATCTACTTCAAATAATAAAACTATCTGCTACTGACTGAGAATCTTAGGTTTCTGTTGGAGTCACTGTGACTAACATTGGCACTTATACTATCATTTTAAACACTGGTCTCAGCAAAACAAAATGATGATCAAATCAGATATTGAGTGAAAGATTTTCCTGTTTACATTTGACTCAGCAATTTGGGTCACAGACACATATGTGATGATGAATATTAGGGACCTATAGTAGACAGCAACTACAAACCCCAGTTTAAATACAAGGGTCCCAGACTCAAAAAAAGCAAGCAGATTTTGAAGGGGTGCTGAAACTTAAGAGGAAGAAAAGAAAATGAGTTGCCTAATTTCCTCACTTTATCAAACTGAGGTGTAAAGCAGAATGACTATGCTTCAAAAGAATGCAAGAAATCTTTCTGTCCTGAACCAGAGGACAGAGCTCAGGACAATAACTGCAACAAAGGAGAGCGTGAGATAAGGGGAGCTCCAAATTCTAATGTGTAATCTCAACCCAAGAACACAGAGCTTGAGTTTAATCATACGCATGGAGCAGAATTAAGCAATCTCCATTAAGGCTAAAATCAATGAATTGAGGACTGAGCTGTTGCCTAAAAGCGAAACTTAAAGTTTGTAATTTGTCACTGTCCTCACGTTGTTCATCAATTTGCTTGAGCAGGTCCAGTAACGTCTCCATTGTGACAATTGTTACTGGGTTTGGCATATAGAATATGTCACAGGGAGCTTGCCAGGCTTTGTCCTGCGGGCGAGATACTCTCAGTAGCTTGCCAGGCTCTCTGAGAGGGGCAGAGGAATTGAACCCGGCTCGGCCAGGCAGGCTGCAAGCAAGGCAAATGCCCTACCATTGTAATTTGAGTCTAACCAAATTAACTACTTGTTAAAATCAAGCTTTTCTGAGGGATGAAACAAAATCCTGTTTCCAAAATATAACATTTTGTTTGACCAGAACAAAATTTGAAACAGGAGAATGTGGCCTAATTTCAAAAGCAAATCAAGAGACAATGACCCTGAGAAGATAGATATTGGAATTATCACTTTAATAAAAACAGTCTAACTTTTGAGAATGCTCAATGAGAAAGGAAACTGTACTTGAAATCAATAAAAAAAACAAATCTTATTAGAGATAATGAAAATCTAAAAAAAAAAAAAACAAATAGAAACTCTACAATCATAAAATACAATATCTGAAATAAATTACTGAATAAGCTTGATGGCAGAGTAAAGAGTACTATCTGAAGCTAGATGACCAGAATTCATGTGATCTGCAAACAATAGATTGACGAATACATGAACACAACCTTAATATATTATGAAAAAGCCTAAGATGTATGTAGTTACAACAATGTTCAGAAAGAAAAATAGGAAGGAACAAATATTTAAAAAAATATTGGTCATAGCATTCCCAGACTTGGTAAAGACATAAATTTATACACAAGAGATTCAGTGAACCTTGGCGATGATCTAACACAATTAAACACAATTATGAAATGACAATACCCAGGTACAGCTGGTAGGACTTTTGCCATGCATATGGCTGATGTCGGTTCAATCCCTAGTATCCCATATGGTCCCCCAAGCACCACCGGAAATGATCCTTGACAACAGAGCCAGGAGTAAGCCCTGAGCACAGCCAGGTGTGTTCCCACAACAAAATATTTTAAAACACATATACCACTATTTTACAGTATGATAAATTCTACATATTTTACAGTATGATAAATTTCTACTCAAAAAAGCTTAATATTGAGTAATTGAATAAGTTTTAAATTCTATGTAATATTTAGTTTATAAAAATACGGAAGTACATCTTATTAGCCAAAAGGCCATTCATTGTTTCTGTTTTTTCTTTTGTTTTCTTTATACTGAGTTTTCAAGCCATGTATGTGAGGGAAACCCCTTTAATATAGACATGTCTTTTGTTTTATGCTTAGTAACTTAAAAAATATGTGGGCTAGGAGCTAGAGCAATAGATAGTATAGTGGGTAGGGCATTTGCCATGCAAGCGGCTGACCCGGGTTTGATTCCCAGCATCCCATATGGTCCTCCAAGCACAGCCAGGAGTTAATTCCTGAGTGCAGGGCCAGGAGTAACCCCTGTGGATCGCTGGGTGTGACTGAAAAAGCAAAAAACAAACAAACAAAAAAATATGGACTAGGCATGAAGAAGTAGGTGGCAATGGCAAAATGTGGATTTGAATGGACCAAAATGAACTTCTGAAAAAACTGACATACAGAGTAGACTGAAATATCTAACAATTTAGGAAACTGCCTAAGTAAAGTACCCTTTGTACTAAAGAGGAAATGACAAGTTTTCAAAATAGTTATGGAATACATTCTTGATAAACCCAAGTCAAAATCTAAATAAATAAAATCCTCTTCTATACAACTGACATATTTACCCAAAAGACTGAACTGTTATATTAACCTTCATTTTTATCTCTTAGAATAAGAAATTACTCCTAAAAATATCCAGAAGAAAATAAACATTTGAATGAAAGCTGTTTAGTAAACACTCAAAATCTGTATTAAACACATATAAATTCAGTCCCTCTATACTTCATGCAATGACACTGATCAATGGCTTAGATGAAGTAAGATTTTGGTTGCTGCATCCATCAGTCATTTAAAAAATCTGGTATAACTAACAGTTCTCTGTATCTTTAAAAATGTTGCTAACATTCATTCTCAGAAATTGTCAATTTTGGGATTTACTATATTTGATCTTCAAGTGATATTTTTGGAAAAATATATGACAAACTGATATGAATGCCAGATAATGACCTAAAAAACATCCTCTAACAGCAGAACACTTTGAAATCTTCTACGTACAGATATATGAAGAAAACTATAATTTCAAATTCACCTGCCTTTGAAATAAGATTATGGCTCATTTTTACACCCAATTTTCCACTTTCTATATTACTATGACTCCCTAGTTGTTAAAAAAAAGTTAGAAAATGCTAACAGTATTTCCCTTGAAAACTTGCATTAGCTAAAAAACAGACAAAGGAAAGAGACTTTTTTAATTGTATCAACCGTTTGCGTAAATTTTCATTGTGTTTAAAATGGTCAGGATTAGTAGACTATTTTATTGGTGAACTGTTTATTTTGTCATTATTATTATATATTATTATATTATTATATATTATTATTATATAATATTATCATATTATTTTGACATCTTATTATGACATCTTATTATCTCATTCCTACTTTGGACAAACTGGCAAGCTACCGAATGTAGCCTGCCCACACGGCAGAGTCTGGCAAACTCCTCGTGGCGTACCCAATATGCCAAATACCAGTAACAATGATGGGTCTCATTCTCCTAAAGAGCCTTGAATATAATCTCAGGGCTAGGATGAAGGAGACGTTACTGGGGCCTGCTCGAGGCAATCGACGAATAACAGGATGATCTGTGATTTATGTTTATTTTGTTAGATGTTTCAAGGAAAACTTGAGTAATTAAAAATGAGGAAACTCGAATTTTAATAGTTGTCTTTTTAATAGCTGGGATCAAACTATGCTTAAAGAATTTAGAAGTACTTAAACTGTTCTTTCATGGCAGCTGCCAGTTTTCAAAATTTATTTAAACTTTTCCATAAATTGATGCCCAAAGAAAAATTCCATCTTCTATTACAATATAAATGAAGTAGCTAAACTTGATTTTCTTAGTTCCCAAGGCCTAAGTTCTGACATACCTGAAGGAGAAGAAAGCCACCACCTACAGCAGTTGCTGCAAGTTTTCCAACTTTCTGGAACAAAAATCCCGCACACCTTCAATGAAAGAAATGACAGAAGATAAGAACAATCAATGATGAGCTAATAAACTCTCTCCCTCTTCACTACTTTCCTTATTAAATCTTATCATTTTCTCATGGCTTTGATCATGTACCTGGCCTACTCCCAAACCCTCAATGTTCCCCTCTACTTACAAGCTAGTCAAAATTGCACAACTTAAATTTCCAAGATGTGCTTCAAAGGACGGAGAAGAGGGGAATTCAGAGAATGCAGTGGAAAAATAAAAACCAACAACATTGAACTTGAGTTAATTTCTCTCTTCCACATTTATATAAGCTGAAATTTCTTTTAATAAAAATGTTTTAATACACTCAAGATGTTCCATACAGGGGCTGGAGCACAGCGGGTAAGGTGTTTGCCCTGCACGCAGCCGACCCGAATTCGATTCCCAGCATCCCATATGGTCCCCTGAGCACCGCCAGGAGTAATTCCTGAGTGCATGAGCCAGGAGTAACTCCTGTGCAACGCCAGGTGTGACCCAAAAAGAAAAAAAAAATGTTGCATACATATGTTCGAATCCTACTCTACCCAAGCCTATTACTCCAACTCAGTCTCCAAAGAAGTCATGAATGCTACTCAACCTACTCTTTTTTTAAGGTTTTTCTGCACCATAAGGTCTAGCTGGAGGTTCCACTTTAGGATTGAACTTCAGTACATATTTCTCACAACTTCCTTACCTATACCTCATTTTCAACTTGCTTTGTCTCATCTATCCTGTAAGAATATCCATACATATCTCTATTGTGATTAAGTCTCTCATTTGATGAGCTTATATTCACTTTAGTTTTCCAGATCCTTGCTGAAATTCCAAGTGCAAAAGAATCCTAGCTTTTTGTTCTGGCTTGAGTAGTGTCAACCCCCACCCCAAATTTATACTCTTTCTGGAATCTCAGAATGTGACCTTGGAATTTTGCAGAATGCATTTAAGTAAAATGACAATATGCTAGACTTAGTACTGGATGCTAAATCCAGTACAACTTAATCCAATATTCCATACAGGCACACAGACAAAAGGAAGATTGCCATGAAATGACAGAAGCAGAGATTGGAATGATAGATCAAGGAATGCCAGGGAGTGCTGGGAACTACCAGAAGTTAGAAGACAAGCATGAAATAGGTTTTCCCTGGGTCTTCAAAAAGGAATCAACTCTACTGACCCCTTCCAGATTCCTAGCCTCCAGACCTGCAAAGATATTAATTTCTCTTGTTTAAAGCAATCTTTCACTTTGTTAAAAATAGTCCTAGGAAATTAATTCACTTTCATAAATGTAAAAAAAAATCACATTTCCAATGATATGATAGGCTTCTTCAGTCCCTAGAATCACAACCAAACAGCCAAAGCAAACATAATCTTTCGAACCAAAACAACTACTGCTAAGGTTACAATCTGTAAGTCTCCCATTTCACCATTTCCCAGGCTTGCTACCTCATGTGCATATCAGATTCTCTTCAATGCCTCTGGGTCCATCTGACTACAAGTTCTATATATTCATGTTCAAAACAGTATGTGACATGGGGGTCTGGAGCAGGAAGGGCACTTGCCTTGCACACAACAGACCTGGGTTTGATCCCCAGCACCCTGTATGGTACTCAGAGCCCACCAAAGAGTGATCCCTGAGTGCAGAGCCAGGAGTAAGCCCTAAGCACCACAGGGTGTGCCCCCCCCAAAACAAACAACAAGAATGACAAAAGAAAAGAACAATGTGACCAAATCTTTCCACTCAAGAATATCACTACTACTACTACTGTATCACTGTCCTCCCATTGTTCATCGATTTTCTGGAGCGGGCCCAGTAACGTCTCCATTGTGAGACTTTGTTGTTACTGTGTTTGGCATATTGGATACATCACAGGTAGCTTGCCAGGCTTTGCCCTGTGGGCAAGATACTCTTGGTAGCTTGCTGGGCTCTCCGAGAGGGGCGGAGGAATTGAACTCGGGTCGGCCATGTTAGCTGTGTGCAAGGCAAACACCCTACCCACTGTGCTATCACTCCAGCCCACTACTACTACTACTACTACTACTACTACTACTACTGTTACTACTACTACTACTACTACTATTACTACTACTACTTATTATTATTATTATTATTATTATTACACTATATCAATAGTACAGCAAGTAGGGCATTATCATTGCACCTGGATAACCTGGGTTCAATCCCCGGCATACCATATGGTCTCCTAAGCATCACCAGGAGTAATTTCTGAGTGCAGAGCCAGGAGTAACCCCCGAATATCACCAGGTTGGCACAAAAAAAAAGAAAAGAGTACCACTACCTTATTTCCAGGCCACCGTAAGAACCCTTGAAGTAATCTTCATAGCTCCACAATCTCTCCTGGTGCTAGTTTTAGTTTAGTCAAAAAAAAAAAAAAATCCTGCAGCTACCTACAGATAAATATAACTTTCTCAGTCTCCCATACATGTCATGAATCGGTCTTAATTGCTAACTGGTCAGCCAGCCATCCTTAACATGTAAGATTACATCAGTTTTCTACCCTAAGAAATTTTCAGAAATTCAAGCATTAAATCTTAAAATCTTTGCAACAAATAACCTTCGTAATATCAGAATCATATTATATAGTTCCTGGACCAACACTTGCCTAAGATCCACACATACCTGAAGACTACCTGAGTAGAAAAGCCAGCCCCAAACCCTTAAGAATGGCAGTGGAAGAGGCAAGCAGCAGGCAGGTCTCAGCAATATTCCAATAAGTATGTTCCACAAACAGTTCCAACCTTTTCTTGATGGCATAAAATCACTAAAACGAACCTGCTCACTCTCTGATGGCATTAGATCTTCCAAAGTTTCCTGTAAGCTTATGGAACTTCTCCCCAAGTTTGGCCTACAGAGTGATCTGATACTTCTATTTCTCACTTCTTTATATTTTTTTAAGTTTAAAAACTTTTTGGCAGGAGGGGGATTTGTCACACCTGGCAGTGCTCAGGGATCATTCCTAGGGATGCTGGGAGGATAAGGGGTATGGGAAATCAAACTGGGGTTGGCTTTGGGTAAGAAAACTTCCTTAACTCCTGTGGTATCTCACCAGTACCCTCAATTATTTTTAATATCTTCTAAGATGGGGCCTTAATGACTGACAATCATCTGTATGATACCAAATTGTGAGTTTACTGAAGCAGAGAACCAGACCCTGTATTACTGGGATGAAGGAATAACCAGTTTACAGAAATTATGTGACAAACCAGGCCCTGACTAAGCATCTTCTAATTGCAGACTATTATCATAAGCAGCATTAATAAACGTACATTATGAATCAATACACTTCCGCATCACAGAATTTTCATGAGTGTTTCTACCAAAAAAGCACAGAAGAGCTTGCCATTTTTCCAAGGTGCATATAAAGTATATTATCAAAAAACGTCATGCTTAAGTTAAAAATTGTATTTAAATTTAAGATGGATTTAACTTGCAATCTAAGAAAAAAAATGATTATTCACAAGGTAAGCATCCTAACTTCAAAAATTCTGTAGTCATGAACATTTTCCAAAAAAAAAGGGTCAAATTTGTTTCTGACCTAGTTAATAATGGAATTAGATCCCCAGTAGCAATTATGTAATCATGTGGCCTAAAGAGTTAACTGGTTAGTTAATATTTATTAATCGTAAATAATATTTTACAAAGCAAGCAATCAGTTCTTTAATTCCAATAAAGAATCGAATTCTACAACTCTTATTCAAAATATTATCATCTAAATCAGAATTTCTGGACAATGGGGATAATAGAGCCCCCAAGATATTCCTTGTGGACCACAGGAAGAGAGCGAGGTCAGAGGGAGACCAAGGTGGAAAAAGGGTTGAGAAACGCTCATCTAAACTGGTCTACAAAAATCAACCGAATCGTCTGAATCATTAATTCACTAAGAATTTTAAGCTATTCCCTCTATAAGACTGGCAATTCTAGACACTTTCATTTGCCCACAATGGGAGTTCTCACAGGATTTTCCAATTCTCAGCAAAGAGCAAGTGAAAATTCTTTGGGCATAAATAACTCTTACATCTTTTTCCCTCTTTCCCCACTGAGTCACTGAGTCAGACCCACAGAAAAAGGGGAAACAGACACACTGATAACAGAGGTAGGCCCTGGGAAGGTGTTTTGGTGACCTCTCTTCCCTGTCTGAGTCTCGATTACACCAATCACAGAGAAAAGTCTCAAGGGACAGCTCTCCTGTGTTTAACGGAACACATTGAGTGCGCACACAACTGACCCATGTACAAAAGAGCAGCAGTTATGATCCCAATGAAATCAGAGGAAAAAGATGGTCTCACCAGCCAGTCACTCCACCCATTACAATCTGGGTGGCTACAGAGTATTTTTCTACCATAGGTCCGGAACTGTGACCAAACACTCGATTCCACCAGTGATGTCTTCTTGCATACTCAGTTAAATCCAACACTTCATAAGATTCATCATCACTTTCATATTCTTCAAAATATAAAAGGAAAAGAAAATTTAGAGTCAACACAAACTAGGAAATGTCTTATGGAGATTTTTTTTTTCTGGTCTGCTACAACTCAGCATAACTTTGGGCCTACAGCTAGAAGTGGTCATATGGAACCATTACTTTGTTCAAACCAATCGCTTCGGCTAGAGCCTCAACAGCAAAGGGCATTTCCTTTCCCAAAGGCACAGGGTCCGGCTTAGAGGATAGAGCCAGGACCTGGACACTCACAACGCAACGATGGGGTAACTTCCCACATCCATATCTCAGGGTCGGGTTAGTTTCATATTCGTGAAAGGTGCCCCCTCCCCCCCCCCCCAGCGTCCCACCCCCACTGCCAAATCTCCTAAGTGGTAGGCCAGAGCTGGGTCCATTTTCACCAGTGGAAGAACGAGGGAGGGTCCTCCACGAACAGAATCAATTAGGGGCCTGGCAAGAGAAATCACTTAAAAGTCAAGCCATTTTTCTTAAAATAAGAAATAACAACATTTGAAGATGGAGGTGAAGGCAGGATGTGGGGCTGTAGGGGTGGGGTGGGGGTAACTCTGCGCCCACCTTCCGCCAAAGGGGGAAGTCTAGGTCGGAAGGAGATATTCATGAGAGGTGCCTCAAAAAAAAGAAAAAGAAAAGAAAAGAAAAACAACAGTAGGAGCCTTGGCCTGGTGAAGGACAGCCGGGACCAAGGTCGAGAGCAGTGAGCCAGTTCTCAGAAATTACTTCGGGGCCCGACCGCTCACCTTGGGGAGGGGGGTTCCGGGTCGCCATGATACCGCCGGCGGCCAGCTCTGAAGGTGGTCCCCGCCCGCCCGGCTCTCTCCACCTCTTAAGAGCCGCTCTAGGCCTGGCTGGAAATCTATGATCTCTTTTATCCTCTTTCTCCAGGCGCTACGTTCTGGCTCCGCCCCACTACTCATCGCAGGGCTTTTTGAGCAAGCGCAAGGCAGGGGAAAGGGGCTGGGCTGAGCGTGGGAGGAGAGGGCGGAGGGAGGCCTGTGGTGGGCGGTCCCGCGAGGGCTTATGGGAGTTGTAGTTCGTTACTCTCTGCAACGCGGGTTTTCACCTCCCCCTCGAATTTCCATAATCTTTCTTGCTTAGTTTTGTTTTATTTATTTATTTTTTTTGCTTTGTTTGTTTTACTTTGTTTTGTTTGCTTTGTCTAGTTTTGTTTTGTTTTGCTTAGGGGGCAAGGGGAAGCGAAAACAGCTTACCGTTCTGAACAGTGTACCAGAATCAAGCCCTTGAGGAAAATGCCTTTAAAAAGAGGGAAGAGAAACCCAGCCTAAAACCACCTTTTCTGAGGAGGCAAGGTTTCACAAATGGATAGAATTTTTTTTCTAGTGCGTTGCTCTTAGGAATTGTAACATTTTTATCTGCTTTGTCACCAGACCTGAGTGATGTACAGAAAAGGCCTAGGAGGGGCCATCACACAAATTATGCAAGAGAACGTATTTTTTTTCTTTTAATTCATCTTTTAAAATTGAAATCTGATTCAGGAATGAGATACAGTTTTTCACTTAAAAGTCACAAAGATTAAAAAAAGAAAGAAAAAGAAAAGAAGTCACAAAGATTCTGCAAAATGAAAAAAACGTGTTGATCTCTAACTACTTAGGCTAACTTAGCAGCAGACTTAGATTCTCATAAACAAGAAGCCAAGCTTGTTTGCATTTGCATCACACCCTCATTCACAATACAATTAAAAACAGCTTTCGCAGCTATTTGTTTTAACAGAAAAGAAAGAAATTTTGGTATGGATTGTATTATTTAAATTGTTGGCTAGAATAATTGAACTTTTTTTTCTAAATCCTTGTGCCTCAAATTCAAGAATTGTTTCACTCAAGTTTCTGAGCCTGTCCTCGCCAAAAAACTGACATTGATGTTCAAGGACTGTTACTTTCTGTAAGAATCCAGTTTTCAGAAACAAAACCATTTTCATGTACAGAAAAATAACTTTACATGACTTACTGAGGTGCTGGAGCTATAGCACAGCAGGTAGGGCTTTTGCCTTGACGTGGCCCACTCGGGTTCTATCCTTGACACCCAATATGGTCCCCTGAACCTCCAGGAGTAATTGCTGAGCACAGAACCAGGATTGATTCCTGAGCACTGCCTGGTGTGGCCTAAAAAAATAAAACAGAAGTTTTACTGAAATATTTCTTCCAACAGTAAAAGAGATTTGAATTTATATATTCCTTTCCATTGCCTACCACTCCTATTTAGATGGTATCAAGTAGAGAAATGGCAATGGCTGGCCACCAAAGATGACACATTCACATCCTCCTAGCAATATCTATGAACTACTGGATAAAGTTGCTTTATTCTTAAGAAAATATTCACTGTCACTGTCCTCCCGTTGTTCATCGATTTGCTCCAGCAGGCCCAGTAATGTCTCCATTGTGACAATTGTTACTGTGTTTGGCATATCAAATACGTCACAGGTAGCTTACCAGGTTTTGCCGTGCGGGAAAGATACTCTCAGTAGCTTGCCAGGCTCTCCAAGAGGGGTGGAGGAACCGAACTCAGGTCGGCCATGTTGGCCGCTTGAAAGGCCCTACTGCTTTGCTATCGCTCCAGCCCAAGAAAATATTATTATAGAAAAATTATGAGGAAAGGGGGATGGGGACCACTTGCCCTTAAGATGCTGAAGACTATAGGTTTATTTTCAAAATATATCCAAAACGAATTAAAAGACAATAATTTTTCCAAAAACCTTTAAAACTAGGAAGGAACATTTAAATGTTCTTCTCTTCCTTCTTGCAGTAATATGCCCATGTATTTGCCTTAAAGAAGTTGGTTGTATAATAAATTTTTCTAATGTGGATATTTTTCTTTCCTTATCTAGAAAAAGCTGTCATGTTGTTGAATCAGTGAAAAATGGTTTCATGTGTCAACACGAAGATTATAAGACCTTATGATCTTCCTGATGGGCCCCAAAGGGGTGATTTTTAAATTCCCTTTTAAATAGAATTTTCCAGTCAGGACTGGAGGCAGGTAGGCAGGGAAATGCCCTCGGCAATGAAACTCAGTCAACAAAACTTCTGGGAGGAAAATTCCAAGGCTGATCTACTTCATGGATCAGATAAGTCTTTGAGCAGCAGATCCTGAGGAGACTGGACCTCTCCCTATGAAGCAATACCTGTGGGTTCCACCAAATCACTGTGAACACTAATAATTGGAACTACAGCAAAATATAGTTTGGGTTGTGCAATTTTTCAATACACAGCATTCCAAAAAATTTGAGTGATTTATCTGAAATACAGAGAACATTTTTAGTCTACAGTGAAGTTATAGGAAAACTATTCCTTCTAAGTCTCCAGCTTTCCATTCATTTTGTAAGAAAAAGTTAGTCAAAATGAGCTGGAAGGAACAGAAAAACATCAGAGGAGCATGTTATTACCAGGGTAATTTAGTGTCCTCTGTTTGGCCACAATGGTCAATAAATATCTGCACCAAATGATCTACAGTTCTGACAAGTCCAAAACATCTCTAACTTGGGGGTATGGTGCCACCAGCAGGTCAATCTGTACCTGTGAGGTGAGTGCATCAGCAGCCTGTTGGTGCCTTCAGACTTCCAGATACCCCAAAATTGCTGCTGTGCCTTTAGCCAGACCTCAAAAACATGGGGCAAAGTTTATCAAGAAAGTAAACAGTCAAAAGTTATGTATGTGGGAGACACACCCACAAACCACCTCCAGCTCAGCTCTATAATTGGAGGCATGGCCTCTCTGGTTCCTGATCAAACTGCTTAACAGCCATGATCCCAGAGACTCAGAAATAAATTTCAAAATCCAACAGCTTTTGGCAGAAATGCGTCGGGTTCCTGCAGTAGGTTACTGGCACTGGGCCACCCCAGGTGGGAATAGGTTTCGTGCCTTGGCCTGTTCCCCCTGGCGGCCTGGTGGCTGTCATCCTCCAGAGGCCACTGGATAGTCAGGTTTGGGCCCACAGTGATGAGACACGTGGGGCCTCACAGGATGGGGGCGGGGGGATCCAGCCCTTTCCTCCACACCCCAACGAGACCCCAAGTTGCTGCCTATGAACAGCCTCTCTGGCTCGGGATCAAGCTGCTTAGTGGCCATGATCCCAGAGACTCAGAAACAAATCTCGAAACCCAGCGGCTTTTGGCAGAAATGCGTACGGAACCCTCAGTATGTTACTGTCACCAGACCACCCCAGGGGGGAAAGGGTGCTGTACATCTGCCTTCTCCACCTTGGTAGCTCGTTGGCTGCCATCTTCCAGAGGCCATTGCACAGTCAGGTTTGGGACCTCAGTGACCAGACACATGGGGCCTCACGGGATGGGGGTGGATCCGGCACTTTCTTCCCCTCCCCAACAAGACCTCGAGTTGTTGCCCACCAAGGGCCTTTCTGGCTCCTGATCAGGCTGCTTAATGGCCATGATCCCAGAGACTCAGAAACAAATCTCGGAACCCAGTGGTTTTTGGCAGCGTCCAGACCCTGCAGTAGGTTACTGTCACCAGATCACCACAGGGGGGAAAGGGTGTTGTCCCTCCACCTGCTCCGCCTAGTTGGCTCGGTGGCTGCCATCTTCCAGAGGCCATTGGGCAGTCAGGTTTGGGCCCTCAGAGACAAGACAAGTGGGGCCTCACGGGATGAGGGTGGAGCCAGCCCTTTCCTCCCCAACCTAACGAGACTCCGAGTCGCTGCCCATGAACGGCCTTTCTGGCTCCTGATCTAGCTACTTAATGACCATGGTCCTAGAGACTCAGGAACAAATCTTGGAACCCAGCAGGTTTTGGCAGAAATCCCTCCAAATTTAAGTGTTAAAATTTCGGAATTTAAAAATTGCGTGGCCACTACTGCAGTCACGCAACATCATATGTTATTCATAACCAGCAATAGAAAACAAATTGTCTACTGTTGCCTTTTCAGCAGATCTGAGTGTTGGGGTAAAATCCCAAACAATAATGGTGGATCTGGTGTCAAACTATTGAATGTAATCAAAGTAGAGAGAGAGAGAGAGTAATGTGGAAATCATCTGCCCCACAGGTAGGGGAGGGTGTGAACTGGGGGTATACTGGGGTTTTTGGGGATGGAGAATGGGCACTGGTGAAGGTACAGGTGTTTCATTGTATGACCGAGACTTAAACCCAAAAGTTTTGTAACTGCTCTCACAGTGATTCAATAAATAAAATTATAAAAAATGAAAAAAATCTGTAACAACAAAAAAATTAATTATCTCCTTTTTAACTTCCCTTTAATAGTGAAATAGCCACTTATCCTACCCTTGAACTACCTAGCCTCTGACATCCTTTCTCTTCCCGATGTTCTTCATAGCCATCTTGGTGACCATTGCAGTAACATCTTAATTGACTTCATGCACTTTTTCCCTCACTCAATACTACCCTAAGCTATTTGTCCTCCAAGCTGTGCTAGACCTCTTCCCCACCCAGGTCAGTTTATCTGCCGGTATTCAAACCCAGGACTTGGATTTCTCCCTGCAAGACCCCCAGGCGTCCTATCAGACTTTGGGAGAAAAGGAGCCCTGAGCCTCTGCCTCTCCTCTTCGTCCCCCAAGCTGTGCTGGTCTTCTTCCCCACCCAGTCTTTACTCTCCCCACACCCACCAGGTACCCATGGAGGCGCGGCTTTTTCAAAAGTGGGAGTGGCTTCAGTAGAAGTGGTCATAGCTTAATTTTAGGCAGGCCAACGCTCACGCGCCCACAGGTAGTTTAGTCATACCAAGAAACCTAGTCCCCGTACCTACACACCAACATGCAGAAACAATGCAAATTCCCACCACTTGGGAAGGACGGTGAAAAATGTCCAGAAGCCTCTGTAGGTGCTGCTCACCTAAGGGACCTCTCTGACAAAGAATTCAGATATAAAGCCATGAAGAAGTT